TAGCACTTTGCTTTTGCTGTAAATTTTCTTGAAGAAATAAATATACGAGCATTTTTTTCTTGGGAGATGCACACTTATTTAAGAAATTTTGATAGAAGAAAATTTCTATTCTATTTCTAATGCGTAATTTTATATGAATTTTTCGTTTTTATTGAGAGCTCTTAAAAATTTAACTTCGAATGAAACCATTGTCCTAAAAATATGCAATGCATACTCACTTACTGTTATTTTTTACAACTTGCAGCCTAAAAGAGTTTACCACTGATATGTACTTAACAAGGATTCGAAGATTTAATTTACCAACTTCGAATTCGTTTCACCAAAATTACCTAAATAATAAAAATGAAAGTCCATTTAATTTTTCCCAAAAAAAATTGAGGAAAATGAACATTAAAACAATTTTTTTAATTTTTTTATTACTTTTGAAAGTTAAGCGCATCTTGTGTTTAAGTAATTTTCAAATTACGGGACGACCCTTGAGGTACCATCTTTCCGATTAAAAAAAAAATTGTTGAGATTGGTTCACGTGGTTCAAAGTTATGCGGTAGCATACATAAAAAAGAAAAAAAATATTCCGACGAATTGACAACCTCTCCCTTTTTCGAAGTCGGTTACAAATGTTTTAGTTCTTANTTTTTCGTGGTACGGTGTCGGACCGCTGTTTTGGATTCGGGAAAATATGGACCGTTATCTTTACCTTAGAATATTAGAAGATGTTATGCTACCTTATGCCGAATGGAATATGCCTTTGATTTGGCAGTTTCAACACGACAATGACCCGAAACATACTTCGGGTCTTGTAAAAACGTGGTTACAGAGTCGTGGAATCGATGTGATGGCGTGGCCTTCACAATCGCCGGATTTAAATCCAATAGAGAACTTGTGGAAGATTGTGAAGGAAAAGCTTGGGCCCTGTAAATCAAAGAACAAGGAGGAACTTTGGCAAAAAATCCAGGAAGCCTGGTATTCCATTCCAAAGTCGATCTGTGAGACCCTAGTAGAATCTATGCCGAGAAGATGCACTGCTGTACTTGCAAATAACGGGTTTGCTACCAAGTTTTAATACTGGATCATTTTTTGAATGGAGGTTTTTTGCAATTTTTGAGTTTTATTTCTATGATTCTATTTTATTGACAATTGAATTCCATGACTTTTTACTTTAAAAGATTTTAATGACATTATTGCAATAGCTGTTCATGTGTTTTTGAGTTACTTATATGTAAAATTAATAAAAACAACTAAATACATGTTTTGAAATGGTTAAGAAATGTTTAGTACCTTTTTTTGGCAAATATCTATGGGAAGAATGTTTGATTCTATTATATTGTCAATAACTGTATAGCCTGGTTCCCTGGCTATTTTGAAAGTCTCTATATCCACCACCTTTTCCTTGACAGCGAAAGAAAATGCAAACCAATTTTTCTTTTACCAACTCCGAGGGGACATCACAGTGCAACAACCTCAGATTCCTCCTGTCTGAGCCAATTCATCGGCTTTCTCATTGCCTTCAATATTCCCAGTTCTGAGCATAATTCCGTTTTATACTTCTGGAATAGCTGGGAAATGAAATGAAATCAACCGCTGGACTGTTACAGTATATTCTTGCTTTCTTTATTCTAACGATGCCTAAGGGTTCCGCTTGGAAGATGCTTGTATCATAGCCCAGACGCAGAGACAAAGAGACGCCAAGTTCCTTGGAGTACACACCTGTCTCACATAGGGTTGCCAACATTTTCTAAGATATTTATAGTACCTTTTCAAACAAAAAAATGGAAAAAATATAGTACACTTTGAGTATATATAGTATTTTATTTAAAAGAAAAAGTAAAAACGATTTTTAAGTGATGGAAAAAGTTCTTCCTGTGAATTCCTAAGTGGTTTTAATAGAGGGTAGAAATGAAATAATTAAAAAAATGTTAATTCTTTCTCAGCGTTTTTAAAAGTATGTTAGCTTTTTTGATTATAAACTCACACTGACCTTTTACGTTAATAAATATTTCATTTAATATTTTTATTTCAGTATATTTAAATGTCATCCATTTTAATACATATTTTTTCGTGCAAATTACTGAAATATATTTATATTTATAATTGAAGGAATTTAGTATTATTGCGTACTATATTTTTTTCCAACAGTATATAGTATGCCGACCGGAAAAATGGTACAATACTATATATTATAGTACGGTTGGAAACACACCACACCACAGGCCGGCTCGAGCCATCCACTCTCTTCTGGATGGGGCTCTCATTTGTACGTTTTTGAAGCGTTTAACTACCATATAGTCAGTCTTTTGTCGTGAGTGTATTTCGTTGATGATCATCCCGTGCCTAAATTGGCGAGTTTCCCATAGTACTGACTCTCTGAGTCTGACTGCAGATTTCATGGCCACTTCTTTTAGATGGATGTGACTTTGTTTCACTCGGAAGTGAAAACTGCCTGATTGTTGTGCTTATTATAGCAGTTCATATCTCAGCTGACCTATAAGTTTGATGTATGCACAAGGCCTAAGTGAGAACATATTTGACTAACCAAATTAACTTTTTTTTCATGAATCTACTGAAAGATTTACAGATATGTGGATATGAAGTTTTAGGTAAATATTCAGTGCCATTGCACAAAAATAACAAACTCACCTGAAAATTGTTTATAGCCACCAAGTATTTTATGTTTCCACCATTTGACGATATTACCCGCCATGTTGGCCGTTGAGTGAATCGCGAACAAAATACACAGGACGTTGATGTTGATATTTAACTTTGGAGTTTAGAATATTTCAGCTTTTTGTGTTTTTATGCACAAAAGACGAACGTTTTACAGCACGTCGTTGGACTTTTGTTGTCAACGTTTTTTATTGACGGTTTGTTGCGCGATTGTCTCAGTTTTTTTTGTGTGCTGCGTTCGTTTGCTGTGATTTTGAAGCTTTTGCGTTTTTTGCCTTTTTCGCTTTTTTAGTGCAAAACTGCAATGCCTGCCGGCTATTCTCACTCAATCGGTTTGCGTGATTTGCGGCGGCGAGCAAATGCAACCGCAAACAATCAACAACAGAAGCTGAAGCCGAAGNGTTGAGTGAATCGCGAACAAAATACACAGGACGTTGATGTTGATATTTAAATTTGGAGTTTAGAATATTTCAGCTTTTTGTGTTTTTATGCACAAAAGACGAACGTTTTACAGCACGTCGTTGGACTTTTGTTGTCAACGTTTTTCATTGACGGTTTGTTGCGCGATTGTCTCAGTTTTTTTTTGTGTGCTGCGTTCGTTTGCTGTGATTTTGAAGCTTTTGCGTTTTTTGCCTTTTTTGCTTTTTTAGTGCAAAACTGCAATGCCTGCCTGCTATTCTCACTCAATCGGTTTGCGTGATTTGCGGCGGCGAGCAAATGCAACCGCAAACAATCAACAACAGAAGCTGAAGCCGAAACTGGGGCGGCTGTAGCAGCAAAGGAGAAGCAGTGAAGAATGCCTGTTTCATAGGTTGTTAACTTTGCTGCACGTTGCTGATTTTGCTTGCCTTGCTGGTTGGTAAATTGTTAAAACTAAAAAATTATTTTTTTGTTATTGCTTTTCACTTCCTTTTATTGCAGCATCGCTCGATTTTGTGTCAGCTTTTTTTACAGCGGCACAGTTTTATTTGCGTTTGTATAAAATGTTGGCACTGCTGGAAAATTGCTGTGTTGTTGGAAAATAATCTACTTGCATTATTGTTTTTATTTTTATTATGTATGTTTCGTTGTTTGTTGCCTTTCTATGTATGCTTACTGGCGTTCACTAAAACTTTGTTGCACAAATGGCTGCAACACATCCTGGTGCACTTTTTACTATCAATTGTATGTGCGTTGTTTTTTTTTTTGCTACCGCTGACACTTTTGGGTGCTTGCAATGCGCGCGCGAACAAATTTACTACACTCGCTCTCAGACGGCTTGCCCTGTGTGCCTCTAGCATTCGTTTCGGTTGCCGTTTATTATCCTTATCGGCACAGGCAGGTAAGACAGCGACTGGCAGGCAGCAGTTGAAGAAAATATCACGTACGCTAGTAGTAAATAAGTATCCATGCATGTGTGTAAGTGTTTACTTTTGCAACACAGCATGCACTTTGTTGTTTTGCACTTTATTTTCTTTTATACTTATCGGCCGTTTTGAAAAGTAAGCACTTTTCTTTTACTTTATCAACTTTAGTGTGTCACTTAAGTTCGAGCAAATGAGTCGTTTTACTGGTTTTGCCAGCATTCAACTGACATTTTGCACTTTTTTAGTGTCATCTGAATTATTTTTACAATCCGCCATGCTTTCTCTACGATTTGGCCATGGCTATGATTTATTAAAGGCCGCACTACTTTATATTTAGTTACTTCAAGAAAGTATGCACCTTTGAAAAATTGTCATTACCCAAAATTATATATGCATTACCGCTAAAGCCATAAGTTTGGTTTGTTTCTACAAAACTTGTATTTTCGTTTGAAATTTCGCATTTAAAAATATAAATTTCCTGGTTTCGCCAATTTTTCTTTTTATTATCTTTTTATTTCTGCATCACGCTTCAATTAGATGATTTCTTTCTCTTATTTTTGTTATTAGTTACTTCTTCACTTGCACGTTTTTGTATGCCGCGTCGCGTTTATTTCTCTCCGCCGAGCCAAAGCGTCGGCTACGAAAAATATCATTAAAAAAATATCAAACTGTCAACAAAAGACAGAAAATTCAATGATTATGGAAATAGCATCCGGTCAAACGTGTTTTGTTTGCGGTACAGTACCTTTTTTTTATTCGAAAATTCACCGGAACCTTTTCTGCTGTTTCCAATTTTTTTAGGCGTTGTACGCCAGCTCATAAACAGCGCTCAAGCTTGTCTAGTCAGGTCTTTAATTCTGTTCGCACTCAAAAACACTTCTATGGCTGCAAAAATTGCCAATTTTAAATTCTCTTTTCCCAATTCAAACACATTTCCCATACATCAAATCAATTCCACGCATCGACTTCCGTTTATTCGAACGTATGCACCGCAAGAACTTAAACGTATTGTAGTACCTTTTTCATTTAGCTAACTAACATCGACTTCTTATTTCCTCCGTTAACACAACATTCGCTCTCAACATACGACCACTGACTGAAATGTGAAAACACAGCACAGCCACTGCGGCCGATACTGCCAATGATGCGTCGACTGAAACACGCAGAGCAGACAAGTACATACTAGACGCCTGCTGGCTCGACGCTACGTTTGTCGCCTGCTGCTGCCGTTCCCGTCTATGTTACATTAAGTCTGGTCCTATGGTACTACACCCTACACCACGACGCAACGTTGGCGTAGCCGTTGGCAGAGTTGTTGACTTCGGCCTCGACGTCGTCGTCATCTCTGTTTTTGTCGCCATAGCGAGTTATTGTTTTCGTTTCTCGTGTCTGCTGCTGTTTTTGTTGTTGTTCTCCAAAGTCGGCAATCGACATGGCATAATAAAGTACTACATACTAGCTGGTGGTAGGCACTAGATGGATGACTGACTGGTTGGCGGTGGTGGCGATGGCGGCACCGGTGGCGGCATATAAAGCAAAGCGCAAGGCGGCGGCAAACGTGAAAAACATAAGAGAGCGCGCGGTTAGGTCAAAGTGAATCAATTGTGAGTACACGGAGCTGTTAATGCGGGAGAGTTGCTGTTAAAAGTTTTAAAATTAATAAAACGATAGACCTTAGGATGCTACTTGGTCATTGAAATCTTTGACAGCAAATATTAGTGACATTTTAATGTTTTTATAAATTATTTTTTTCAGTCAATTGTTACTACAGGCCTTGGCACATTTAGTCATGTAGCGATACTCAGTTGAACAACGCGTAGTAGTGATCCAAACGTTTTATCAAAATGGTAGGACTGAAAGTGAATTTCGCACTACCTTATCGTGAGCGATGTGGTATATTTGCATCTAAACCACTGATGGGCACTGCCTTGCCCCCGGGAAAAGCTCTTTTTAACTTTCTATGCAGCAGAGGAGAAGGCGCATGCATAGTAAAGGCCCTCTCTGTCCATCGCTGATCTAAACGGATACCTTAACAAGCAAAACTGCCTCATTTGAGGTACTGAAAGTCCAAATGTATATATTGTAAGCTGCGATGGAAAGAGAGAGCTTTTACTCTGCATGCGCCTATATGTATAAAATATATAGAAAGCTTAAAAGAGTTTTGCCCGCGGGCAAGGCAGTGCCCATTTAAAGAAACAACTATGCAGCCACAAGAAGTCAGTTTCTAGTGTGGTTTTTGGGCTGGCGGAAAGTGATGCGCCTACCTAACACCTAACATCAGCAGTCTAATAGATGTAATGTGTGCATTCAAGAAGATATTCAAACCTAAACCTAAATATGCCTGATAGTTTCGTCAGGATCAGAGTATAAGAATCATGTTGGCAATGAAGAGCTGGCCCGCAAATAAGGGTGCTGCATCCAGAGCTCCTAACTAGGAGCCTTTATGTGGTAATTCAAGTTTATTTGGGCTGTCGTGATCGGATGGCGCCTCCGCCATAAACGAGATAAGAACCATTAAAAGATCATTTAAGTAGTCCTATCTTCACTCACACGCGCTCCGCCAGCGACCGCAGGTGGAAACCAGAGTAGCCGTCGCGGGAAAATATAGCTTTGACAAGACTACATATATTGTTTGCCTCTGCCTTCGTTTCGTCTGCAGAAAAATGAAGTCTGCTTTCTGCGCACAAGCTCCCACATGCACTCGTGCCAGCAGCAGTTTCGTCGTAAATTTTCCAGAGACCATTGGGACCGGAAGTGCGATGCCAAGCCGGCAAACTTTTGCATTGGGGTAACTGGTTTTCGCGGCCCACGGTCTCTCCGGAGTTGCTGCACCATTATAGATGGGTTTCTCCTGCCTAGGTTTCACCGTCTGATTCACAGTTTAACCCAAATGTCGTGGTGCATGTTAGCATTACTGGTCTCAGCGTGCCTCGAGTGACACAGTAGGTTACCCTCGTCGGCAAATACGCCGTGAGGGTCAGGAAGAACCCGGTTGGGACCAATGGACACGATACTTAGGGCACATATCGTGTACCCTAATAGCAAAATGGTCTATAGCCGGAGTTGGTGACGTAATAATTTGTAATTAAAAAAAAATATTTGTTAGTTCTCTGAAAGAGCATTGAATAATCATAACCATATAACAGTTTCTCACTGTGTACTTTACGCTAGTGTGACCCACTCGGCTCACACCCTCTGTAGGAGTGTATTTATACGAGTTTTTACATAGCATTTATGTTTTGTTTATATCGAAAATTCGAAGATAGTCTCACGCTCAGAGTATGTATATGTATGTCATTGTTTTCCCACTGCACTTGCTTTAATCAGTGTTGCCATTTGACTTATTTTCCGGCCAGGTTTAGTTTTTTTTTACTTGGGTTTAGCCGGAAAAATCCTATTTAGCTTGTAGCTTTTTTCTAAAATTATTTACATATTAACTTCAAATTTTAATAGGGTTCAACATTTTAACGATTTTTAGTATTAGGTACTGGATGAAAAACAAAGACAAATGCTGTCCTGATATTTTACTTCAGCGAGTTTTCATTTAAAAAAATATACCCTCCTAAACGCATCCTTTCACAAGTTACTTAGTTGTGCGAAAAAGTACGCTTTGCGATGATGAAGTACAAACTTACCGCACATGTTTGTATTTTCCCCCTTCAAAAAATACAAAGAAGGTCTTCGGAGGCTTTAACTTTATCCGTTATCTGCGTGGGTAGTCTGGTTTTTTTAGCTCTTCCGACACTCACATCACCTTAAGGAATGAGCGAACGGGAAGCAATAGTTGCAGGGCGACAGCGGAGAATTTCTACATGGATGGGTCGAAGCTTGACGGAAGTGTCGGTAGGTGTTTATTTCATGCAGCATCTAGGAAACATTCGAATGTCTGTTATACTGCACGACTTTGGCAAGGGAATTTCCCCCGGTCAGACTCATTTGGGTGCCAGGCCATGTTAATATCGCAGGGAATCGTGTTACGGAGAATTTGGCCAGGAAAGGCACCCTCGAGTTATACTCACCTGGTAAAGAGTGGAGTACTTTCTCTTTG